CCCTAGAGTGGCTACCAGCTCCCCTGCTCTTGAGAGGGTCTCCCTAATTTTCTTCCCTGCTATGGGGACGTCTGGGTTCAGGAGTTGGCTTCTGTGGAGGATCGGGCCATGCTCCTTATTTCGGGGTGTGGTCCTCTGCCCATCTGCTCCTGGCCCAGCTAGCAGAGGCCCTGCCTGGCACCCTCTGAGGAGTGACTGCAGCTCCTGTCTGGCTGGGGATTGGGTGGTCCCTTGCAGTCCTCAGCCCCAGGTCTCCCTGGCCCTCCTCGGTGATTGCCCAGCTGCAGCCTCTGAACAGTGCAACAAGTCCTGGCTTCCCCCTCTCCAGACCTAAGGGAGAGCAGAGCTCCTGCATGCAGCCATTCCATGCTGCATAGAGCCAGCCCCCTCGCCAGCTGGGCTTTCTCCCAGATTCCTGTCCTCCTGCTCAGGACCTTCCCCCATGGCTTTTGAACTGACACACGTGGGGAACCACTTTCCGGGGTCCATCTGAAGCTCTCCTCCTCCTACCAGGTCCAGAGGCCACTCCCTGTCCAGTGGGAGGTTGCCCAGGTCATCTCCTTCTTCCTAACCCACAGACTTCTTCTTGGATCACACCCATCTTACATTTCCTTGGGGACTGTCGCTCACTTGGCTGAATGGCCAGAGTGCAGGGGAGGAAAGTTGGGGCCACAGGCATTGCTGCAAAGTGATGTCCCCCTTACATATGCAAGTGCCTGGCATGTGGTGAAAGCTTGGTGAGTGCCCATCCTCCTTCTCCTCCCCTTCCCTTAGGCTGGTGACTGGGGGCCACCTCAGCCAGTGGGGCCTGCACTGGCCCTCTATGCTTATCCTATGGTTCTGCCGTAGGCTGAGCCCCTGGAAACCACCTTTGGATGGAGGTGCAGCTCTGGCCCCCATGCCCTGGCCCAGAGATTCCTGGGCCCCAGAGATTGTGGGGTCACAAGACAGTAGAGGCCTCAGGAATAAGCCACAGAGCAAAGCTGCTTGGGCCAAAACCCTGGTGGCACCACTGGACTAGCTGCAGGCCACAGTCACCATCTCAGATCACACAGAGCCTTGAGACGGTGGTGACGTGGCTTTGAAATGTGCATATCACAGTGTCCTGGACATAGTAAGTGCTAAGGAAATAATTGCTGTCATAGGGATATTGAAATGGGTCCCAACTAACGGGGAGATGGTGACCTAGAACACGGAAGAAATTGCATGGTCTTGGTGCCCTACAACCCCAGGCTGACCTGGGGAACTCCAGTTCCACGCTGCATGTGCGTGTGTGTGCATGTGACCTCTGCATCTCACCTTGTCATCACCATCCTTTGAGCTGCTACTGCCTGTGTGCTGAGCACTCTGAGGAGGATACGCTCACCAGGCGTATCAGTGAAACCCACCACTTGGGCTCAGCAGGAAGCAGGAGGCCCAGCTGCCCCTGGGCCATTACGGAGCAACCCCAGCTGGGCTTCACAGGTGTGGGGCTGCCACCTCCCTGCTGCATGTGTGTGGGTGCCTGTGCGTGAGCAAACTGAGCTATCTGTGTGGGCACTCACACCACGCAGCCTTTGTCCCTGCACAAACTGGCCACATCCCTGCCCTACACCTATGCATCTGGGGTTCAGACCCAAATGCCGAAGTAATTTTCATCTGGTGCAAGCATCCCAACCCCGCCTTGCAGGGCACTTGCATGCCCTACTGCCAGTTCTCTCCAGCCCAGGCCCCGGCTCTACCCCAGACCTCGATGTCCTGGTGCAAAGCCAATTCTGATTATTGCAACTTCAGGCCAGGGCAGCAAGTCACTCTGAGCCTACCATTGGGCCACTTCCCTTGTCCAAGCACTGCTAAGACTGCCACCACTGCCACCCCTCGACGTTTCCAACCCCTCTCCCATGGTGGGCCAGGGGTCTGGCTGCCCATAAGGTGTGGGGACACTGGGCTGGCAGGGAGGGAAGCAGAAGTGAACAGGGCAAGAGTGAGAGACAGTTGGGTGGACAAGAAGGCAGGAGAGCCCTGATCCTGCTTCTGAGGGCCTAGGAGCCCCTGGCCCTACCAGGCCCACGAACTTGGTGGCTTTGAAACGTGCTTATGGGCAGTTAGAGCCATGTTTCTGGCACCACAAGTACAAGTCTAGGCCCCGGAAAGGAGGAACTGTGAGTGGAGTGGGTTGAGGAAAGGTGGGAGAGGGCCCTGAGGACCCCACCCAGGCTGGGGAAATAGAAGGGGAACCAGGGCCACCTGTCCCCCAAAGGCCAACTCTGAGGGGACTTGGTATAAGAACATCCAGTGTTGGGATACACTGGCCACTCCCACTGCCACCTCCTGACCAGGCAGGGAGAGGCCACGGGTCCACCTGAGTCAGCTGCCTGGGCACAGGAGAGCCCCTCCCCGGGGCTGGGGTCACACAGCATTTGGGACCCCCAGTAAGATGTCTGTATGCCCTGCAAAGAGGTCTTAGGTCCTTACATCCCTCAGCACTTCAGTCTGTCCTTCTGAGGGGCACAGGGGCATTCCACCGACCCTCGTCACATGCAGGGTGGAGCCCTCAGGCCCCTGGAGCAAAGCTTGGCAGGAAGGGCCCTGAGAAGAGAGTGGGAGGATGTCTCTGCATAGCGTCCATGCTTAAAAAGTCTGAAGAAAAGGCCATGTGGCCAACAGGAAGGCCTCCTGAGAAGCAAGGAAGGCACGCCCAGGTCTGAACACAGCATGGCCCCCCGGACCTCCTCTGCACTGAGCTCCTATGGAGAAGAATCAAAGTGCTTCCCTCACATGCCTTGCTTTTGCTTAGTCTGGTGACACCACAGAGCGAGGACTGTCATTACAGTCTTCTCCCAGAGGACCGAGGACTATGATGTGGAAGATGAGTGGCCCAAGCTAGAGGACCCGGGACCCTGAACCTGGACCAGGGTCAGCTGCCTGCTCTCAGATGGGCTCAGGGCCTATGAGTACAAGGGGGAGACGACAGGAAGTTCCCCTGAAGATAGCTGTCCCTGGCCAGACCTCCAGGTACAGGCAACCAAGCCCTGAGAGGCCCTAGGCTGGAAGCAGGGTTCTGAAGCAAAAGTCATGCTCCCCAAGCTTCAAAGAAAGCAGGCATCATTTTAATCAGGTGAATTTTGAGAAGATCATGAAGCTTGAGGGCCTGGCCTAGGCCATCAGCTGCTGTGGGGGCCCTCCCAGAGCTACAGAGTGGGTACGGATGGTGACTGACCTCTCACCTCTCCCACAGCTCCTTCCCACCATGGGGCTCACCTCTCTCTCCCCGGCCCCAGTACCTGGGGCCTCACCCCATCATAGGCCCTCGACCTTCCCTCAAGGTGCACATCCACTGTGAGCTGCTCCTGGGCAGGGGGGCAGGGTGGAAGGTGGGTTCATGTTCTGAGGCACCAAGCAAAGCCTTATTGCCCTGCAATTATTCTTTTCTCCTTTAAGCTAATTACACAGCTGAAGTAGGTGAGTGATTATAGCTGAGCAGAGAACAAATTCAGCAATTTGGAGCCTGCAGCGGTTCTCAACCTGTGGGTGGTGACTCCTTTGTAACAATGAAAATACATTGCAGTGGGCAGCACCTGCGGCTCAAAGGAATAGGGTACCGGCCCATATGGCAGAGGTGGTGGGTTCAAATCAGCCAAAACTGCAAAAAAAAAAAGAAAGAAAGAAAATACACTGCAGCATTAGGAAGGTTGAGAACCACTAGCTTTAGAGTTTCTAAACTGACTTTTAAAACTCAGTCATTGGTCTGAAAGAAGCTGCAGAGGAGCCCGTCTTCTAAGGATCTGAGCAGCAGCTGTGCTGGGGACTGAGAGGATCAGGCTTCCCCAGCCCAGCTGGACCCCACAAATTCCTCCTGGGCTGGGAGCTCACAGGCAGAGTCAGGAAAGAAACAGGGAGGGAAAGGCCCTGGGTAGGGCTCAGCCTGGCCCTGCTCCTGTTTACAAAATTATGTGGATGGAAGGGGCCCTCGCCAACTCATCTGGGGCCCAGTGAACACCATTCTCAGTGACACTGCACAGGGAGCAGATGCCAATCACCACCTGTACCCCTGCATGGAGTCGGCCCCCAGGCAGGAAGGAGGGAGAAACCTAGACATGGCTGAGGAAACCTGGCAGAACTTTCTGTCACCAGAACAGGCCCTGAGACAGAGCCAGTTTCTATCACCAGAACAGGCCTGGAGACAGAAACGAGCCAAGCTGCTTTGTTTTCAGGGCAGGGCTTGGTGGGTCTCCTTTATAGCTACAGCCTGGGATCAGCACAGACCCCCCTACCCCTGGCCTCCAGCAAGCGCTAAATCCAGGAGAATGTGCTGTTGTCACCACAGCTGGAGACTGTGAGGTGGGTGAGAGAGTCCCTGCACGTGGAGCCAGGGCCTCTCTGGAAAGAGGTCCTAGAGCAATGGGCAGCCCCAGCTGTGACCAAGAGGAAAGAGCAGAGGGGCCAGCCACAGGGTTGCAGGAGGAAGTAACTCATTTCCCTGTCACACACTGTCCTGCCCCTCAGCAAAGAGAGTTTCAGGGCTCCATGTCCTTGCTGCGTCCTTACTTCAGAAGCAGTGGAGGACCGGGGAGCAGCGGGAAGCCAGCACTTCCAGGTCTGGCTCTCATCTGGGCCACAAGTCTGGGCAGCCAGGACTCCTCTGGACACTGCCCCACCTAGGCCAATTGATTTCTGGCTGGGGTGATGGGGCCCAGCCCAGCCCCCCTCAGGGGAACTCCTTCCTCCCCGGGCTGGGGTGGTGGAGCCCAAGCTCATGAGATGTTGAGAGCTAGAAAGCCAAAAACCTCAGCTAACCCTGAGCTACCGTTCCTTTCCTTCATCTTGTCTTGTACCTGATCCTACCCCCCAGGGCAGCCCAAGAGTACCTTCACAGAAGGCAGAAAGGCTTGCCGGGAAGGCTTCGGAACTGGGACAGATCCAGCAGGGGTGGGGTACTTGTGACCTTGGGGCCACATTTGGCCTTTTGCATCTGTGAATGTGGCCTTTGATTGAATCCAAATTTTACAGAACAAACCCTTTTATTATAATAATAGCATTGAGGCTACAGGTTGCCCACCCCTGGGGGTTGGGTGCCCATGTTCCATTCCATGGCAGGGGAACGAGCAGCCAGAACAGGAAGCATAAAGAAGTGGCCCCTGAAATCTCTCCAGAGGGCGGCGAGGAGGTGATTCTTTCACGCCGTCACTTCCAAGTGGGTGAAAAGGAGCAAAAGCAGAAGCCCTAACACCAGCCATCCCTGGGGCTCCTGGAGTCACACAGGAATTTGGCCTTGGTAGGGGAGCAGAGGATGGGGATCCACCCCAGAGCACTGGGGCAGGTGGGGAACGCAGCACATGAGAGGGTGGCTGAAGGCCTGTGGCCTCCACCCTTCACCAGCCAGTGTGGAGTGGGTACCCAGGGGACCACCACAGCTGCTGGCTCTGCACCATCAAGGCCCTGTTCTGAGAGGCACAGGGTGAAGCTGTGCCCTTGTTGTCACTGCAGTGGGACCACCCAGACACAAGATGTGCAGTGGGTTCCCCAGGGCCCAGATGCCAAAGGGTCTTAGGATAGGCCACAGCCTCGGGCTACGTGTGAACAGGATTTATTTTTCATGCACTCAACACATGTTCAACCTTGCTGACTCTGCTGGGCCTGAGCAGGGCCCTGGGGACAGAGATGCAAGGAACCTCTGAGCTGGGTGAGGGCAGGGCCAGTGTCATCTCCTGGCATGGAACCTGACAGCTACTGGCTCCTGACCAGTGTCTGCTGAATTCATGGCAGGCCATCTGGGGAGTCTGACTGCGTGGACGTTGGAATGTGGGTGCCACGGTTGAGACTGTGAGGGTCTTGTGCCCAGCCAGAAGCACCTTAGTCACTATGTTCCTGGCACCACCTGCTGACAGGCTGCAGATCCTGGAAAGAGGGTGTCCCTGACGCCTCAGGAAACCTACCTATAGAGTGGAGAGTAAACAGTAGCCTCAAGTCTTCCCCGTCAAGAGTCCCTGGGGCCTAGGCAGCTAGGAGTCCTCTGCCTGAGGTCAGTGCAACTGCCTGTAGCACATGTCTGTGTCCGAGGGCCCAAGAGGGCCCAGCTGTGCCCTGAGATCAGGTTAAGGCCTGGCAGGGCTGGGAGAGGGAGGGGACATGCAGCAGGAGCTCATCTTGGCCCCAGTGTCTGGGAGGGTCCCCTGCTCCAGAGTACTGGCTCCGCAGGCCCTGAGCTGGGAGCCTTGGGAACAGGGCTTGGTGGAGAAGCCTGAAGCACAGTCCAGCTCAGCGGGGTCGCTTGCTGTCCAAGATGGCCCTCCAGTTGTCTGCCCACGAGTGTAGCCTGCGGCCAGGGGGCTGCAGCTGCAAGTGCCGGTTGTGGCAGGCGGTGAACAGGACGTGCTCCCAGCTGGGGTTTGGCTCAGCCCCTGATGGTGGGAAAAGAACACTTCAGTCTAGGGGTGGGGGCCCTAGGACCGACCGGAGTCCTCACCAGGCAGCTTACCTCAGTTTCCTCATCTGTAAAGCAGTGACTGCTCCTGCCGCATGTGAAGTGCTCAGCACAGCAGAGTCAGCATTCAGTGGACAGTGGCCGGTGATCCCAGTTCCTACCCACTGCCCAGGCCGCACAAGGAGGCGCACTGATGGTCACACCTCACTGTGCTCACTTGCCCTCCCCTCTCTGTCCCACCATCCTGCTGCAGGTTGGAGAAGTCCAGGCAGCTCACTGGCTGGTGGCCATAGGAGCCTCCCGCACATCAGTCCTCCTGTCTACTCTGGTGCTACTGGCAGGATCCTACCCCTCTGGGGTAAGCCCCTGTCCCAGTTCCTCACGCTGGTCTCTGCCCAGCTCCCTGTACCTGGAGATGAATGACAGCAGGTGTTGGGGCCCTACAGGTCACAGCCCCCACTGGCAACTGCTGCCCTGACTCTCCCTGGGAGAGCACATGGTTTGGGAGGGACTGCGGGAAATACCTATAGATCCCACACTCTGAACATGGTGACTGCGTAGAGATGGGTCTGTTTCTCATGCCAGTTCCAAAATGGTTAGGAAAGAAATATTGTGTCTTTTCCCACTGGAGTGTCCAAAAGAATAGGCTGTCAGCCCAAAACTACTGACCACCACCAGGGGAGACAGCTTGCCAAGGCTGCTGGCAGGCCTGGGGACAACAGGGCAGGAGACAAAGAAACTGAATGTTGGCTGATGCTATTTGGACTCATAGATTCAGCTGTGCCTAAAACTACCCCAGCTTTTCAGTTAAGTGAGCCAATAAATTTCCCCTCTCCTTTCTAAGCTGTTCATGGGTCTGTTCGGTGGGAGGGATCATGTGTAAGCAAAAGGGACAGATACGGCCTCCACACCATCGCCAACCAGAGAAACTGCTGTGCTTTCCTGCTGTGCATTAGGGCCAGTCCAAATTGCTTTTGTAAAAATTTAAGGCTTGGCTGCTAAAAATAAATATTTGAAACCTGAGTCCTATCCTCATGTTGCCTAAGGAAGGCTTCTGAGCTGTGAAGTGATTCACCTAAGGTTGCCTACTAGGCAGCCCCCCTACTCCTAGGAATGCCTGCCCAGGCCATCTGCACGGGGGACCCTGTCTTCCCAACAGGGAAGGGGCTCACTGCCTGGCAAACAGCTGGTCACCAGGTGGAGTGGACGGGAGGCATGACCCTCAGAAGGGGGTGCAAAGTTCAGGGCTCCTCCCTGTCCCCTTGCACGCCTCACCTGCCATGGGCCACTTGCCTGTGATGTCTGGCCGGTCATCTATGAGGAGGTCAGCAGAGATCACAGTCTTGTCTCTGGTCAGCACAGTCTGCTCCAGAAATTCCGGGCCAAAGTGCTTCTCCACCCAGGCGTACTGGAGGTGAACAGTGGGCAGGGGGTGAGAAGAGAGTGACATTAGACCTGTGAGCATGCCCAGAGCTGGGGGATAGCCAGGCATCCCCAGGAAAGGTCCTGCTTAAAACCTCGGTTAACAGCTGATGCCAAGGCCCAGGCCAGGCAGCTCTGAGCTTGGGGAGACCTGCCAGCCCAGGAGGCCGAGGCTCAGCATGATAGGTCCATGTCCAGAAAGCAGCAGAGTCATGACTCCACTTAGCACATCCACACCGCCCCCCGTGAGCCTCTGAGCCTCTGATATTGCAATGGGAGCAGGGACAGTGGCACTGTCCTCCCACAGAGCCCTACTGAACTCCTCCCTATGGCACCCAGACAACAGTCCTGCGGGACAGCCCTGAGGACACAGCTATTAATGCTAAAGGGCATTTAAACCATCTGTTATGTAATCCTCAGGACAGGACTCCAGAGAAGCCTCTAGGGAGGGAGAAGCTGCAAGTGAGCCAAGAACAAGCAGCTGCATAGGGCACATGCCAGGTAGAGGACACACTTGGGTACTGAGGGTGTGTCCTGGTGGGCAGAAGGCTGAGGAGCGGGAGTGCACAGTGGCTCGGGGCAGGAATTAGACTGGGGCTTGGTAAGCCATGTGCCCCCCCACCCGGCCACTGGTGGCCCAGGGGGAATGACCTTCATCCTCCACGGCCACATGTCCTAGCTGCTCTTAGCTCCTCAGTGCAGCAGTCTCTAGCCACTCAGAGACTGCCAGTACCCTCTGAGACTTCTGCCACTTACAAACACCTTAACTCACAGACCCTGTAAGAACCACAGATTTTAACCAGTGCCTGGTTCCAGTCAGAGGAGGGGCAGGGTGAGATGTGCTTTGCTCCAAAGCTCCTCTGGTTGCTGCACAGAGAACACACAGAAGCTCATCTGCTGCCTTCCTGCTGCACGCCCCAAGCAGGTCCCTGCCCATTCTGAACAGTCACCCCAGTGTAAGGCAAGGGCTGGGACGTGGCACAGAGGTGTGGCTCTCTTCTGGCCAGAGGACAGAGTGCCCACCTACCCAATGGCCCTATGAAGTTGGCGCTCCAGGAGCCTAGACCCACCAGCCCATGGCATGTGGCCCTCTGCCACACGCCAACTGGCAGAGAGCAGGCTGGCCCGGCACTCCCGCGGTCCCACCTTCACCTCCTTCTCACTGCTACCTCCCTCTCCATACCCACCCACAGTGGCCTTCTCTCCATCTCTGGTCTGTGTTAGCCTTTTCCCTGCTCAAGAGCTTCACACAGGCTACATGTGCTACTGGAGCACTCCAGGATATCTCACATGCCCTGTACGCACACACGTGAGGGAACAGACACACACAGATGTGTGCATACCCCCAATCCCAGCCCAGGAGTGCTCACCGTTTTAAAGCTGTCACCTCCATAGCCTCCCACGACCTTCACACTCTAACTGTCCCTCCTAGCAGTGGTCACAGTTGCAGCTATGTATGTGTTTATATAATTGCTTGTTCACATCTGCCCACTAGACCATAAATTCCTTGAGGATAAAGACCATATCTCAACGAGTAATTGCTGAAAAGACCAAACAAGCCAATTAACACATATATGAAAAGAAGGTATGAGCCATTTTCAGTCAGCCCTTCCCAAAAGAGAGGTAGGAACAGACTCCATTATAAAGTAATAGCAGGTCACCACATCCACAAAACAGCTGAGCGATGGTCTGTGGATGAACTGCCACTTGGATTGTCCACCTGAATAGGCTGAGGACCTCCTCCTGGCTCCTTGCCACCTAGAGGGGGGCTGGAAGGCCAGGATGAGGGCAACCCCATAGTGAGATGGGAGGAGGGGTGGGGCTGGAACAGAGGGGTGGGGATGGGGCTAAAATTTCTAGCATACCTACTCCGTGGGCAGTGTAGCGTTCCTCAACTCATTTAAGCCTTCTAAGCTGATGAATTTTCCTTATTCATGTATTCATTCAGCTCAACCAGTGTTGTGTGCAGCACAGCTTTAGGGACTGGAGAGGCTCACAGAGCCTACATTCTAGCAGGAGGAGGCAGGCAGCCAGCAGATGACACCAGCTCCGGTGGGACGAGGGTGCTGCGTAAACACTGAGCTGTGGCAGAGGGTGGCATGGGGCAAAGGCCTCTGAAGGCAGCATCTGCACTGGACCCCAACAACAAGGGAGCCTGCTCTCCACAATGGCAAGAACATTCCAGGCAGAGGGAACAAATACTAAAGTTTTAAGGCAGGGAGGTGCTCAGGTGTTTGAGGAGCAGGAGAAGCCCTCGGTACAGCTGGACACAGAGAATCAAGGTGCTGTACAGGGCTGGGTGCCACTGGGACGGGGCCTTGGAGAGCAGATAGGATTTCATGCTAATCCAAGGAGTTCTGTTAGAGCCATGCTGCACACACCCTCTATGGAAGGACTGGTTTGGTTTTGTTTTCTTAATTTCCAATATATTATGACAGATGCTTTTGTAAGACACAAAATCAAATCACATGCTTGGACACTGCATTGATGTCAAATTGCCATGCAAGTTTCCCATCACTTACACCCAATGTCTGCATTTGTCTCAACTTGGGCCAGTACTAGAACCTCTCTGCAGAAAGGTTTAGGAAAATGACATACAAAAACAGTGATGAATAGATTCCATACAGATGAGGATATTAAGGTTCAGGGAGGGCCAGTGACTAGCAGACAAGCCCTGACCACTACCCCCTCTGCCTTGGAGAGCTCTGGTTTCTGGCTTGGCCTCACAGGGTAGGGGTGTGAGCAGAGGCACTGCTGCTTCTACACAGACGCCGCGGCGTCTCTTCCTCTGCAAGTTGCACAGCCCATGCTCAGTAAAACAGGGATATAACAGCCTCTTTCTCATGGATTCCTTTGGGGATTCACTGGAAAATTGTGCATAAAAGACTTAGCACTGCACCTGGCACATAGAAGGTTCTCAGTAAAAGGAATTCCAGTTGTTGGTCTTACCCCAACTGCTTTATATTTGAGTAATTTTATGTTCATCTGCAGTGAACTGCACTGTTTTATCTGCAGTGTTTTCAGGGAACAAAATGAGCAACTTTTTTTTCCAAAATGACCACTCCCCGCACCCCCATGGCTCTGACAGATATGAGCTAGGGGTCCTCAGGCCAAGCCATCAAACCTCCTGAGGCTCAATTTCCTCCAAAGTTGTTGGTATGATTAAATAAAATAAAATTTGTGCAGGGCACTTAGAGTAATGCTGGTACATATTAAAAATTAAATGTAATTATTATTACATTATAGCTGAACTTTAGTAGCCTCAAATAATCTATAAAGAAGAAACAAGAACTATTAATTTGGCCATGTAGCAAGATATAAGATCAGTCTACAAAAATCACCCATGTTTCTTTTTTTAAAATTTCACATTGATGTAAGGGTACATATGATTAGATTATCTTGTTTGCACTTGTTAGGTAAAGTCCAAGTTGTAGTTGAGTCCTTCACTGAGGAGGTGTGCCGCATACCCCTACATTGTGCCTGTTAGGTGAGAGCTCACCAATCCCCCTCCCTCCTCTTCTCTCCCCTCTCACTCCTCCTTTTCTTCCCCTTCTTGAATTTAATTGTGTTTTTCTCTAATGCAGGCGTGTAGTTGTTCATCTGCTAGTTTCATATTAGTATCAAGTACATTGGATACTTGCTTTTCCATTCTTGTGATACCTTTTTTAGGAGGATGTTCTCCAAATCCATCCAGGTAAATATAAAACATGTAAAGTCTCCATCTTTCATTATGGCTGAATAGTGTTCCACAGCATACATATACCACAGTTTATTTATCCATTCATGAGTTTGAGTTGATGGGCACTTGGGTTGTTTCTATATCTCAGTGAATGTGAATGGAGCTAAATGTCCATAAGGACATTTGTACTAGATTACTTATAAATTATAAATTATTTTATAATTAAAATAAATTATAATCTATAAATACTAGATTATTACAAACAATCTAGTGCAAATGTCCTTATGGTAAATGATTTTTTTCTTCTGGATAGATACTTAGCAATTGGATTGCAGGATCAAATGGAAGGTCTACTTTTGGCTATTAGAGGATTCTCTATACCTCTTTCCAAAAAGGCTATGTTAGTTTACAATCCCACCAACAGTTTATTAGTATTTCCTTCTCTCCACACCCACGCAGCATTTGCAGCTTTGAGACTTTGTGATGTGGGCTATTCTCACTGAAGTTAGATGATATCTCAAGGTGGTTTTGATTTGCATTCCTCTGATGATTGTTGCCTATATTCCTGTACAATTGGAAATTGTAGATAAAAATATCATTGACCAAAAAAAAAAAAAAAAAAAAATGAACTAGGCTGAACCACACCCTTAAACACGGCAAAGATTGTAAATTTATGTTATGTGAATTTCCCACTATAAAAACTTTTTAGTTAAAAGCAAATATAGGATTTTACTGACTCAATCATACAGGGTATGGTTGATTCTTATCCATGAGTATCACCTCAGAGATTAAACTCAGGATATTGATACAATCACACTGTTAAGAAGATCACAGGGCTGGGGATAAAGGACCTCAAAAACCTCTGTCCTCCCTCATCAAAGAGAGACAGGGAATCTGCCCACACACTGAGCTCACCACTGCTATAGCCTACAGACAACTAGCAACTGATAAAACTACCACACTAAGGATATCTATAACCAAAGCATCCATGCAAAACATAGACCCTCCCCCTCAAAGCACCAACAAGCAAAGCCAAAAGTTTTTAACCAAAATATACTACCAAATACCCTTATAAGTAAGGGGGGGGGGAGAAAAAAAAGCTCCACCGAAACAAATAAGAAGTGATAACTGCCCCAGATGAGAAGGAATTGGTGAAAAAAAACCCAAAGTAGGAAAAATCAGAGTGAAAGGACACCCTGAAAAGGGAATACTACCTCTCTAGCAATGGTTACTAACCAAAATGAAAATACTGAAATGACAGAATGAGAAATACCAAATATGAATTGTAAAGAAACTGAATATCAAGG